GTTTGTGTGTACTTTCTCAAACATGCTAATGTTGCATTCCCCAGTAGGGCCCAGACTTTACATCAGTAGGGGGAAAGGCTTTTAATGATGTACAGTAAATCCCTGGGTTTAAGCGCCTGATTTAGGGAAAACTTCATACTTAAGAACAGACTGTCATAAAGTCTATTGTATTAAAAATTTGAGTTAAATTCGATGGCTTCTAATAATGAATACATGTACCGCTTAGTTTGTTTGAAAACGTTGTTGGCTGTCAACTTTAGGAAGTTAGATGTGTTACCATTAATACTGTGTTGCGTGTGTAGCTTTGTATCTGGCTTAAATAGTCTTTTATCTATCTTTTTAAACATTCATCAAAGGTGTCAATCCAACATAGATAAAGGTAATGTGTGTGTGTGTATATAAAAGGAAAATAATTATGATTGAAAATAGTCAGGAAGATGAATGCCACTGGTTGTTGGAAAAACATTAACTTAAAATGACTGAATGTTTAGGATAATTTTAAATGATAAATTGAGAATAGAGCATGTGAAAGACTATGATGAGTGACTGTAGAGCACATTATGCTGAGTGAAATATCTCCATCACAAAAGGACAAATACTGAATGCCACTGCTATAAAACAGAACTGACATTGGGGTTCAGGGGAAACTAAGAAAAAAGGTGATAAATAATGTATACTGTATTGAAACAGATGAGGGAAGAGAACTATTTAAAAGGAATATTTGATTAAGTATTATTTGCATATATGCCTGAAACTGAGGAGGACCTCATGCACTTACTGCAGAGGGTCAAGGACTGCAGCCTTCAGTATGGACTGAGGCTCAATGTCAAGAAGACAAAGATTCTCACTACTATACCAATTGGTAGCATCAGGATGGATGGCGAAGAGATTGAGATTGTTCACAGCTTCAGTTTGCTCAGCTCCACAGTCAACACTCTTGGCACCAGCAGCCAGGAAATAAAAAAACGTATTGCGATGGGAAAGTCTGCTGTTAGGGACCTCTCTAAAGTACTCAAGAGCAACGGTGTCTCTTTGGAGACGAAGGTACGCCTGATACAGGCCATCGTCTTTGCCATCACTTGTTATGCATCAGAGAGCGGGACAATGACTAGGGAGGACAGAAGGAAAACTGACGGCTTTGAGCTGTGGTGCTGGAGAAGAGTATTGAATGTACCATGGACTGCCAAGAAAATAGATTCATCCTAGAGAGGGTTAAACCAGTCTGCTCCTTGGAGGCAAAGATTCTGGGGCTTCGTCTGACATACTTTGGAATGTTGTAAGGAGAGACAGGTCTTTGGAGAGGGACATCATGCTGGGTAGAGTGGAGGGACAGCGCAGGAGGGGAAGACCCTCTATGAGGTAGATTGATTCAGTGACTTGGGTAATTGGGATGGATGTATCAGAGGCAATGCGATTGGCACAGGATAGAGCGGGGTTTAGGGCTGTTGTACATAGGGTCGCTGTGAGTCGCAAATGACTCGATGGCACATAACAACAACAACAACAACAATTATTTGCATGGCGAGAGTCCAGAATAAGAGCTGCATAGTAAAGTGGCCAGGGTGGGGGGTTAGGGAGGATTTATGAAAAGTGAACTGCAGGAGGGCTGGGCAGGAAGGGAAATGTGTAACAATGAATGAATTGAAATCCAGGTTCTCTATAAACTTTCATTAAAATCTCAACAACAACAACAAAAAAGAATAAACAAGTTTGAAGATAAAGGGGGAAGAAAAGGCTATGTTCAGGGAGGTTTGGTGGCCTATTAGCAAAAAACTGCACTGCAATCTGAAGGCAGGTGGTTTGAGGCCACCAGCTGCTCTGTGGGAGAAGGATGGGCAATCTTCTGTGTGATTAACTGGCTGTGATAAAAGGCTATGTCCAGATGAAAGTTACACTTGTTATTAAACAATGCAGTGGCTAATTATTAAAATGGAAAACTCTTGACAGTTTGGCTACAAAAAATTACCATACTTTGTCTATGAACCATTACTATTGCTATATATTTATTAATTTGACAGTATGACAGAATTGAAAAGTAATTTCTTTTAAAATCTAGGGACTTGCCTTGAACTTCTAAATTGATGTGGGGATTGGGTTTCACAGTTTTCATATTTATGCTTACTTATATTCTCTCTTAAACCCATTCTACATAATTATAGTCATAGAGATATCTTTACAGTAAAGAGGCAAGGATGTTGAAACTGTCTTACATGCTCTGGGCATTTGAGGGAAAAGCCATTGTTTTGGGAAAGGTGGGAAGTCAGAGAGAGAGAAAGAGGAAGACTTTCAACTAGGTAGATTGACACAGTGGCTTTAACAATAGGTTCAAGCATATCAGAGATGGCAATGGCATAGGATAGGGCAAGGTTCAGACCTATTGTTCATAGAATCACAGTGAGTCATGCTTCAGTAGCACCTAACAACAAAAGCAACAAAATAAGGAGCTGAAAGAAGATGGACAGTCTCCTCCCATTATAATATATAGCGTCTAAAATAGGCTCACTATGGCCCAGAACTGACTCATCAGCAGTGGATTTGATTGGGGTTTTAAAATAATAAAAAGAAACAGACAGAATATGTACATATACACATACTAGTTATACATAGTAGAAAGGTTGCAAATAGTTATAAATAAAATAACTACTAGACAGAAGTATAAAATCCAACTAAGATATCTGATAGCACTTTTTTCCTGCCTACTTCATCCAACTAAGATATCTCATAGCACTTTCTTCCTGCCTACTTTGCAGAAATGTAAAAATGATATGAAATAATGTGTTAGACAGTATTCTTTTGGGTTTGTTTATTTTTTCTCTTATATCTGTTTTTTACTTTTGGGTGAGGTTTACACTCATACTGCCTTTTAATTGAATCATTCATAGACATTTTTCTTATAACTAATTAAAATTGATTAATTTAATTAATTGAGGAGCTCTGGTCTGGTAGCCTAGTGGTAAGAAGCTGTGCTGCAATCCCAAAGACACGTGATTTGAATTTTTTTATCATTAAAATCTATGATTATAATATCTAATAAAATCCTTACTGTATACTTTGTTTCCTCTCATCTAACTTACTCATTTATTACTATTTTTATAGCACTTTAAAGCTTAAAAGATAAGGCCATGGAAATGTTCAGTATAGTCTACCTTGTAGAAGAAAACCTTTCACTGTAGAACAGAAATAAAGAGTTAGGTCTTGTTAGGCAGTCACTTGAACTCTAGAGAAATGGTTCACACAGTGTGATCTAGACACACGTGGGAGTATCTGAGACCCTTATCCAGGTTCAAGTGAGAAATACCTGTTTTTTCTAGTAAGATGAGTGTACTGTGATGTTTTCTAGAGGCTGTAAGATGTATGATGATATAACAGATTGATTCAGCTATTTCTGTTAAGCCAAATATGAAAGAGGTTTGCAGATATGTAAGTAAGGAGTACATCTACTCCTTACAGACATGATTAGGTTTCAGAGACTAGATTGTTAATGGAAAAATTGGTGTTAATACAAAAGTGGAAGATGGCCACATCAGATCACAAAGATGGTGGATGACTGCAACATTGTATAACTGCTAAATTCCATCATTACATAACTGCCAGATTTTATTATTACAGAACTGCCAAAATAACATAACTGCATCCACCAAACCAGTGAGAATCATAGCCATCCAGGTTGACACCACTTTAATAATTATACATTACAGCCAATCTTAATGCGTAAAATAGTCAAATAGTAGACTTTTTACTGTTGCCATAAATGTGAAGTATCAGATAATGACAGAGTTGGTAAATGAGAAATGTTATTGTTATTGTTATGTGCCATTGAGTCACCTGTGACTCATAGCGACCCTATGTACAACAGCCCTAAACCCTGCTCTATCCTGTGCCAATCTCATTGTCTCTGACACACCTACCCCATTACCCCAGTGACGGAATCACTCCATCTCATCTAGGGTCTTTCTCTCCTGTGCTGTCCCTCCACCCTCCCAAGCATGACTTCCCTTTCCAAGGACTGTTCCCTCCTTGAAACATGTCCAAAGTATGTCAAACGAAGTTTCAGAATCCTTGCCTCCAAGGAGCAGCCTGGCTTCACCCTCTCCAGAACAAACTTGCTTGTCCTCCTAGAAGTCCATGGTATATTCAACACTTCTCCAGCACCATAGCACAAAGGCATCAGTTCTCCTAACATCCCTAGTCACTGTCTAGCTTTCCGATACATAGCACGTAATTGCAAAGACCATGGAACCGTACTCTCCAGTCTTTTTTATTTTCTTCTTATAGTGAATATTATTGTGGAGTTTATTATTTTTTTTTTTAAATGAAGTGTAAATATTAAGGAGCATTGGTGGCATAGTCTGTAGGGAGTTGTACTGCTAACCTGAATATGGTGCCCCTCTAGAGGTTCTACTGCACCAGCTGCTCCATGGGAGAAAGATAGGCAGTCTCCTCCTGTCCAGTTTACAGCCTCTGGCCCTGGAGGCTCAGCTCAGATCAGCTGGCTCCAACTTGACAGCAATGAAGTTGAGCTTTAATATGTGATAGCTTTAAAAATTTTTATCTTATAAATATATTTTAAATGTCTTGCTTTTAATATAGAACCCATCGAGAATTGATAGCTATAACCCACATGAGCAAAACCATTTAAGAATTTAAGGACCTTGAGAAAGTAAAGTTTGAGAATTGCTGCTCAAGAGTTAAGTTGCTGATTTACATTCACATATGTCATTTGCAGTTACTAACAGGTTAAAAATGAACAAGTGAAACTTCCTTTTTTATTCCTACTTCTGTTAACAGTAACATTTGCAGTATCACACTCTGAAAGGCTTGTGTAGACTTAACACTTTCTAGCCTGAAGCATAGTTGTAAGCCTTGTGCAGATGCCTAGAATTTATGTGAGAACACTCTTGACACTAATTGACTTGAACTCAAGAACTATTGTAGATTTAATGCCTTAAAAAGGAATAGTGCCAGTTATTTTAATCTACCGTGGTCTTTTCTCATTGCAGGGCCACAACACACAGTGATCTTGTGCTACGAGCAGCAAAGAAGGGAATCCCGTATCAAGTTATTCACAATGCCTCCATAATGAACGCAATAGGATGCTGTGGGTTACAGGTAATGCTATGAAGGCAGATTTTTTACTAGAATTAAGGAAAAACCCCAGAATCAAACCCTACATTTTCTTTCTCTACAAGTTACAGGGTAGTGTTAAAAAACAACTAGAAAAGAAAATTGACCAAATTTCTGAGTCTTGAAATTAAAGCTGAATTCAGAAAAGGATGTCAAATCAGGGCCGTCATTGCTGATGTTAGGCTGATTTTGGCGGAAAGCAGAGAATACCAGAAGCTATGCCATGACTGTGGATCGTAATAAATTACAGATAACAGTAAGTAGAGTGTAAATTCCAGAAAGTTTACTTGTGCTAATGCAGATGAAGAGACATTTATTTAAACGGAATAAGGGAATACTGCCTGGTTTAAAAGCAGGAAAGGTGTGCATCCTTTCACCATTCTTATTCAATCTGTATACTGAACACAGTTCAAGTATCTAGACTATATGAAGACTATAGCACCAAGATTGGAAAAAGTCTCATCAGTAACCTGCATACAGATGGTATAATTTTGCTTGCACATTTAGATAATAAAAAAACTTGAAGCAGTTATTGATGAAGACTAAAGACTCTAGCTTTAAGTATAGATTATACCTTAAAATTAAAAAAAAAAAGCTCAGAACTGACCCAATAAGCAATGACATGATAAATAGGAGAAAAGAATGAATTTGTCAATGATTTAATTTTTTTGAATCCACAGTCAGTACTCATGGAAGCATCTGTCAAAAAATCATTGCATTGGACAGATTTGTCACGGACCTCTTTACAGTACTGAGGAGCAACAATGCCATTTTATAGACCCAGGTGCACCTAGCCAAAGCTGTGGTATTTTCAGTTCTTTCCTATGCATTTGAAGATTAGCCATTGAATAAGGAAGATTGAAGAAGAATTGATGCTTTTGAATTACAGTGTTGTGAAGAATTCTGAGCATAGCATGACTGTCAAAAGACCAAACAAATCTAGCTTGGAAGAAGTGAAGCCAAACTTCTCATTAGAAGAAAGGTAGTGAGACTTCATCTTACATATGTTGGGCATATCATCCAGTGGAGCCAGTCCTTGAAAAAGCACATCATGCTTAGAAAAGTAGAGGGTCCCTGAACAAGAGAAGACCTTGAATGAGATGGATTGACTACAGCAGAGGGCTTAAACACAGCAGAGAGTGTGAGAACAGCATACAGTTGGGGTGAAGTTCTGTTGGACATCAGGCCTCTACGAGTAGAGCCAACTTGAAGGGGCCTCAGCACTGCCTTGTTTCTAGAAGGAGCTATTCCTTAGAGAGGAATCTCATGTTTGGAAAGGTAGAGGGTTGGAGAAAGACAGGAAACCCCTCAGCCAGATTAATTGACACAGTGACTGCAACAGGGGGCTTCAACTATATTAGAGATTATGAAGCTGACACAGAAGAGGACAGAGTTCATAGAGTCGATACGAGTCATACTTGACTCAGTGGCACCTAACAATAGCTACAAAAACCAGTGCCGTATATCCATTAATTGTTGTGTTGATTTTTTAAAAAATTATTTTATTTTATTTGATTGTTAAATTTCCTTCTATTTTTATAGCTAAGAGAGCGCTGCTGTCCTGTTGTTTTTGTTGTTGTGTGCTTTTGAGTCAAAACCCACTCAACTGACCTTCAGTGGGTTTTCAGAGGCAGTTAATCACATGGGAGGAGATTACCCATCTTTCTCTCAGAGCAGCTGGTGAATTGGAACCACTCCCTCCAGTAAATGTTTCTGTGTGTGGTTTTCATATTAGTTTTTTTCTCATTACGCTAGACCATCTCTATTTACGTAGATGAAGATTTTAATCTTACTCCCAATCTGTGCATACATGAAAAGGAAAATATAAACTAAGTAGTTAAATATTCCTAAAATCTTTTTTATGTTCTTCCAGATTATTTACTGAACATTGTAGAGGCTAATGATTTTTCACACAGTCTTTTGTGCTATTAGGAACATTTTGATTGAATCATGTCTTAAAAGAAACTAAGAAGGAATAAATGTATTCTGCATTGAAACAGATGAGGGAGAGAACTGTTTAAAAGGGATATGTGGTTAGATATTATTGTCATGACAGGAGTCCAGAATGAAGGCTGCGTAAGTGGAGTGGACCTGGCGGGAGGGATTGTATAACAATGAAAGAATTTTTTTTTTTGAACTTTTCAAAGAGAAAAGTGAACTGGGGTAGCTAGACAGGGAGGAAAGTGCAACAGTGGAAATCCAAAGTCTCTGTCAACGTTCGTGAAAATTAATAAAAAAAGAAAAAAATAATATTACAGAAAATATGTATGGAATGCTGAAAGCTAGTGATGTTAGTCTTTCAAATTACCTTTTCCATTATTGATGTGGAAAGCTAATTATTTGAGTTTTGAAAGACTCAAAAATGTGATCTTGTAATTGTTTACATGATTTTCTCCCAGCCAGCTTGCTGACATCCTTTTCCCAAGTTTATCCATTCTAGTTTCTACCTGTGCAAACTTTGTGATTGTTCTGACTCCACAGAGATTTTAAGACATATTTTTCTCAAATTAGAAAAAATGTGCATCTTAGAATCTATGAAGTAAAAGTATTCTCCGGTATGTTTTCCTAGAGTGCAAAATATAAAAAGGATATATACGGCAAGAAGATAGATTAGCCTCAGACACCAGCACAGTGTCTATATAAACTCCATGCCATTCAGTCAATTTCAGCTTACAGTCACCCTGTTTAGGTAGAAGTGCATCAGTGATTTTCAAAACTGTAGTCCTTATGGATGCAAACTGCCACATTTTGCTCTGGTGAGGCAGATAGGGGGGTTTTTACCTTTCAGTTTTGAGCCAAGGATTTAACAGTGCACCACCAGGTTCCTGAAAACCCTATGGAGCAGTTCTGCTCTGTGTACATGAATCTTCCATGAGTCCAAATGGACCTTGAAAACATTTTATGAACCAAATCTGTGACTGAAATGATAAGTCCAGCTCTTCTGGCATTAAAAGACTGGCAATGGTTGTCTTGCTAGTTCTTCTGATTTTCAGAGAAGTCACATGCTTCCATTTGAATTATTGGTGAACTCAAATAATCTGCCCGATTTGGTCTTCCCTTCAAATATCAGGGAGTTTTGGTGGTGTAGCCCATAGAGAATTGCGCTAACACAACCCAAAAGCAGAGCCTCTCTGGCAGTTTGAAACTACCAGTGTCTCCCTGAGAGAAAGATGGGCAGTTTCCTCCCATGTAGAAAAAAATGGGGCCTGGAGGTACAAGGCTGTGAGTGTCTCTCTGAAAAGGCCAGAAAGAGTGAGAATAACACAACTCCTCACCGCCCTTCATGTGCAGAAAGCCGATCAGAAAACTGTAGCCCAGCCCCATGGTGCCTGTAGAGCCCCACCAGCATCAAGAGGCTTGTTTATTTGTTGTTGCTTACAGACTCACAGTTCTGGTACCAACAACGGGGTTTATTAGGAAAAGAAGTTGGAGAGTAGAAGAGACAATGAATATCACCCAAAATACGTCCAGGTTTTAGCCCAGCAGTTCCAAGTTACTCTTTAGTCCAGATTCTGATTTCAATTCAGCTTAGTCCATTCTCTGATTTCCATTCAGCAACCAGCTTTTCCTTCCATCATCAAAGACAATAACAGTAAGATCCACTGGTGGCCAGCACAGATGCAGGAACCCTCAGTTCACGCTTTACCAGTCTCCACAGCAGTGCCAGTCTCTACCAGCAGGGTCTCGCTCTCCCCAGGGTCTTGTCACCACAAGCCTGGCTCACCTCTTGTCTTGCTTCTCTAAGTCTTTCTCACCTAGGGTCTTGCTGCTCAGTGTGGGAAACACTGTATCTTTTATCCTAGTCCCGCAGCAGAGGCTGATACGCAAGACCATGTGTCTGCAGTTAATGTAGCTGGAGACCAGAGGCAGCTAATGGATAAAAAAAAGCACCAACTTTTAGGCAAACACAACACATGTGATTTACAACCTCTGAAAACCTACTGTAGGATCGAGAGTGAGTGATTTCTGACTTGATGGCAATGAGTTTATTGACTCAGATCACAAACAACTTTTCCATCTCATGGGTTGGCCCTTTCCTCTTTGTGAAAATTTTAGTCCAAAATCCTATTCTTATCCTTAATGATCATTCAAAATGGTCAAATGAGAGAGTTCTTTCTCCTATTTTGTTTCATTGTCTGTCTGCCTGTATTACTACAAGTCTTAATGACTCCTTTTTTTATCCCCATGTCCATAGAAATGGGGGTAATTTTTTTTTTATTGGAACTTTAAGCAGTTATGAGTTCTTTTGTTAGACATAACAAAATAGAAGTTCTTTTGTTGGAGATAAAGTAGTACAGATATGACAGTTGGAAAAATTTGAGAACAATTTTTAGATTAACATGGAATACTTAGGATATGATTAAAGTGCTGAGTAAGATCACTGTAGAGGCCTGGTCTAAAATGGAGTTGGGTCAGTGTCATAACACTGAAATTGGAATTATAATCGCTGTTGGAAACATGCAGAATTTAATTTTCATGTGTCATTCGAGTTGAGCATTATTCTTTTTTCTGCCTGATGTTACTCCTGACACTGATATCAACATCTTTGTAGACCAGATCTGCTAAAGGGCATTTGTATAGAAGCATTTAGCAACTAAGTCATCAAATTAGTATTACTTCCTTCTAGAAAACTTAAAGACTGAAATAGTTTTGAGACATCTTCAAGGTCAGATAATTGAGGTAGTTCCTTGAAATCAGGTAGCAATGATTTCTGAATAAAAACTTCATTATCATTTGTGGCTGACTTCAGGGAAAAGATTGTATAATTTTCTCATCATTATGAAATGCTTCCACTTTCACTGGCTGTTGCATGAGTGACCTTGAGTATTGCCATATATTTGTGTGTGTGTGTGTATGTGTGTATTTCTGCTTCAGGAAAATGTGTGTTGCTTTAAAAAAGTAACATCTCATTTCCTTCCCTTGTTTTTGTACCACATATTCATCATGATAATCAGTTTGTTGACCTTAAGATTCTTACTGTTAGT